GGAGAGAATTCCGAAACATTAAAAACACTCAATAACATATGCCATTGCTTGGTATAGACTCTCTTTGCTGCTGTCTCTTTAGACATATAAAGCATTGTATATCATAAGTTACGAAAGCAAAATATGTATGTCCTGTTCCGGATTCGAACCAACATCCCCGTGGTTGAAGAGTGGGCGCGTCACCACTAGGCCACCCTAATATCTGTGGGTGGCTTTGCTAAATATCAACTTCTGCTTAGGGTGGTGTAAATGAATGTACCTGATTACGAAATGGTGTAATGAAGAAGATGAAAATAACATCACAAAGAAAATCAAAGACAATAATTTAGTCAAAAGAATGTACCACATCCCAGCAAACAGTTTTACAGAAAAAAATTATATATTTTTCCTGGGCCATAAGTTGGTATAAAACCATGTAATATCGCTTCATTGAAGAACGATATTACCTGGAATAAGAATACAATTTATGGCGTTATACGTCCCTATCAGTTTCTCTTCATGGTCTTCCTCATGGTCCACCTCATAACAAACATTGCCTACCTTCATTCTAACATTCGCAGGAAGAAACACTGGTGCAATTTGGGCATTGAAATTTTTCTTGGCAGTGATTTGGAAAAAATTACGGCGGTACATCAAGTGTCCAGCTACATATGATACCGGGCGGTTTCTCAGGTTATATTGTTCTCATCTTCTCTACAAGCACATGGTCCTTCTAACAGATTGATATTTTTAGAAGCGCATATGTATCGTCAAGTGGTATCATGGTTATCCCAAAAGTGACAAAATAGGGTGAGCACTTAATGGATTGATGAAATGAGTTTCTTGATTGATGAAAAAAGTTTCTCAGTCCACAACTTATGTAAGATAGATGCTCATCCCATAACCTTTAATCTCCTTTAAAATATACTCTAATGCTAGGAACACAATTGGAGCGAACGACGAATTTTTTCGCGGCGTATGTTCGTCGTCAAAAATAAAACACATATGTGTATATGGAAGTGCACACAATCACGGCGCCGGCGAAAATTTCGTCGGTCGCCGCGAACTCAATTAGCTTTATTTCTATTTCATACGCCGGCGACCGGCGAACAAAACAGTACAAGGTGGCCATACTTGTACGAATTTTATGTGTTTTAGTAAATAAAGTTACTATTTACTTTAAAATTTGTTATGGTCACTCTACTATCTGTTATTCGTATAAAAAACATAAATAATTTGTTTATTTATTTGTGCACTTGCGCCTGAGTGAAGATGGATATCAGTGAATTTATAATAGAGAAGATGGACATAACTGAAATTATAATAGAGAACGTAGAATTATGAGTTCTTGTATAATTTTCATTGTAGTCAACAAATGAGCAAAAAGTAAACAACTTCATCAGCTGTTTTATAATTTCGTCGGTATTGTGTTCCATACGACGAATTTTCGCGGCTCATTTTGTCGCCGCGTAGGGCGAAATTCGTCGTTCGCTCCAATTGTGTTCCTAGCTTAACACTGACTATAATATAACGGCTTACGCGTTTGGAAGCGTTAGCTAGTGGAGAATAAAAGGCAGTGTGAATGTGTTTTACACCAAATTTTGTAAGGAAGGAATTAAAATAGTTTGATTTGAACTGTGTATCGTAGTTACTTATTACTTGCTCGGGAACTCCAAATGCATGAAAAATATTTTTGAGTAGAAACTTTGGAATGGGAGCGGTGGTAAATTTTTTTAATGGACTTAACCAATGGTATTTGATTAAATGATCCAGAAGAATAAAAATCCCAATGAAACCATTTTTGAATCTTGGATAGGGAAAGGTCGAACTGTTTGCACAAGTTTTCCCATTTTTTATTTGAGAGCCACATTTGGATGTTTAGTTGTTTTGCAGGTTTGGCAATTCCGAATATATTCACGCATGTCGGTTACCATTCGGCCAGAAAAATTGTGCCCAGAAAAACTGTTGGCGAATTAAGTCTAAATTTTTTTTATTCCTCCGTGTGCGGCCACCATGAATTATGAAACCTAACAATTAAATTGTGCCTCAACTTCTCTGGAATCCAAAGCTTCTAAGATCAGCTTTCTTGATCGTTATCTCCAGAGTAATGATCGATACGAATGTACACAAATTTTCCAGCAATTTGAATGTCAGGGTATTTTGAAGAATTTTTCTTTATCTTAGTTTTTGACGTCAAAGCTGGGTGAATTCCAATTGGTAAGGTTGCAACTTGAAAACCCAGCGGGCTTGCCTACCAGTCACATCAGGTTGTTTCATCAGCCTGGCAAGTGATGAACGATTTGTCACTACCTCAAACTCTTGCAATTCAAGGTAGCATCGGAATTTTTTAATGGTCTCTATAGCCCCGAGGCATTTGCGCTCGGTAACGCTATTTTTTCATTGCGCTGTACTTAAAATCAGGATTTGATTTGATCAGGTGCTTTGGTTAGCAAGTCTTTAATGATTTTAAAGGAGTTTTCGGCTTCAGACGACCATTTTAACTTCTGCTTAGATGATAAGGTTTCGGAAATCGGGAAGGTAATTAAAGAAAAGTTTTCAATAAACCTTCGATACCAACCCGCGAGACCAAAAAATCCTCTAAACGATACGCTTTTTGTGTTGGCCAATTAATTATGCTATAGATTTTTTCTGGGTCTGTCTGAATCCCACCGTTCCCGATTACGTAACCAAGATACTTTGTCCGAGTTACACTAAATTGATTTTTCTCTACATTTAATGTTAAATTTGCTTTTTGTAATTACTGTGTTATTCGGACTAGAATCGCCAGGTGACTATTAAAATCTTCCGACACAAATCTAAATAGCTGAACTCGCAGTATCGGATATCGGGAGGGATAATCATATCCACTAACCTACACATTGTTTGAGGCGCTGTACATAGCCCGAAAGGCATCACCACAAACTGATACAGGGCTTTTTTGTTAGGCTTTGACTCCTCAGATAAACCTATTTGCCAATATGCATCGATAAGGTCCAGTTTAGCTATGATATTGACCTTGGGTAGTCTGGCCTCGATGCTGGGCAATGGATAGCCTTTTTTTTTTGTAACTGAATTAAGCTTCCTGGCACCTAGGCAAAGGCGTTCTTTATTAGGTTTGACAAATAAAACCATTACCTCTAGTGATAGCATACGATCAACCTCCTGATACATCAAGTTCTCCACGGCAGGCGATACAGGGCAATTTCGTTGCTTCACCGGTCTTGCATTGCCAAAATTAATATGATGTTTCAAATAACCTGTTTGGCCTAAGCCTTGATTAGCAAAGCTTGGAAAAAGATCTACAATGGTTCTTAATTGCATCTGTTGGCTGTATGTAAGTGGATATTTGAGGCCAAAGGATGACTGATTGGTTTGGTTTCCGAACAGACATTTGGACATATTGGGATCGGAAGGAATATTGGAAGCTTCAATAGATGATAAAATAGACGGGCGGTCAAATGAGATGAGTGGACTGGTGGTTATTGAACAATCAAGTATATCAGGGGCTAATGAAAATGTCTTCCAAAAATCTAAACCTAAGATCAAGGGTTAAGGGAACAATCAAAAGCTTTTATTTATGGCTGTCGCCACAGAAATGGACGTCAATTTGCAAGGATCTTTGAAGTGAGCCATCGGCTGTTTTGACTCCCTTTTTACAGGGTGAAAATGCAGTGTAATTCGTGAAATTTCTGGTGGCTAAATCTGAGCCTGTTATGTTAGCACATGTGTCTAATAACCCACATACAGTAAATGTGAGGAAAAAGACTATTGTATAAAATCTCTTATCAGACGGTTTACTAATAACAGCAGATATTACATACATAAAAACAATTTTTCGTCTTTTGTAGTATAACCTTACCCTAAGAGTTTAAAATTACATTCTGACACCGAAAATATTTGGTATCTTTTTTCGATATGCTTGATACCGTTCGTGAATACTCATGCAATCTAGGCTTGCTCTAGGTGCGGATTTTGAGTCCCATAGTTTTTTTTTTGCCTGAAAATATACCTTCTTCTTAGCACATCTTGTGCATTGTGGCTTGTAGACATTTTTAAGACCACATCTATAACAGAAAATTTTCCTATCGTGGATACATTCGTCCCAGAAGTAGCCTAATTGTCCGCGATTCCCACATGTTACCTTGGGTAAATCATTGGTGACAACATCAACACATGCTTCTGAATTGCTGTCATCAGTAATTTGTACATAATTAGAGATATAAAACAACAGTTATAGATTTACATTTCTTACCAAAAAAAGTTTAACATTGCAGATTGGAAGGGGGAAAAAATAGGACTATTGAATAAATATTTCGGTTGTAGGATTATGATTAAATAACAAACCATCTTACCGTATCTTTCTTGAGCTGAAAATTCTGGACCTGATTTCGCCACAAGCAATAATAAAGTTATTCCTAGAAAATTCAGGATGACGATAATGAAATCAATTTTAAACTAACCCTATAACATAAATATGTACTTAAAGATTTTTTTATTAAACGATTTTGTACTCATTTGACTGGAGCAGAAAATATCAATCAAGGACATCAGAATTTTCGACACTATCAGAAGACTGAAGAATACAGAGAGCGTTGGTTAAGTATTCTACAGCTAATTTCTTGAACACAAAATAATTTAAATAAAAGGTAATTTGTGACATCTAAACAATTACAGGAAGCTGGGGCCAATAACTACAAATCTCATAGTATTACAAGGTATGTAAAGCAGTGCTTACGAATTTACAATAACCACTTGTAGATAATAAAATGAACAATTTCCCTTCTAAAGGATATACATTTTATGTGCTAAAAATTATTCACTATTCCTATGTATTCCAATGGTTGGGCGCCATTCTACTTATGAAATGAAGAATCAAAATTAAATTTTTGTTTTACCTTGCAATTTATAGCAACCATTATATACTGAAACTAGAAATATATCTAGTTGGATTTTGGTTTATCAACAGAATGAAGATGGAAATTGGCATCAATGTTAGCCTTTGATTGCTAACAAACTGTATAGTTTCAAAGCCATTTTCATAACTTATTTGATTTAAACTTTCCCCACAGGCTTTTTCCATCCCTGCGTTACATGTTGTACACTACACTTTTTATACGTCTTTGTTTACTTCGTAGACAAAGACAAATGTAGTAACAAAATGTAACGAATAGCTTTTATAACCCCGCTTTGCGACATCTTAGCTTTTTTTAATTCGCTAAGATTACTCGCTCGTTGGTTTACAACCGAAAAGCATCAAACCCTGTAATCAAGGTAAATTAAATTGTTTAACGAACAATTTTAAATAAAATATCAGTCCACGACTGTTTTGAAATAAAATATTAATAATCTTTGGTTTTATTTATTTTCTTTTCCTTTCATTTTGCAACGCAAACATTGGTCCAATCGAGCCGGATTATTTTCATCGAAAATTAACCCGTCTCCTTTCTCTCCTTTTACAAGGCACAAACATCGACTTCGTCGAGGACAATAACAACACCTACAGAAAGATCTCCGATCATCCAAACATTTTTTTATTTATCTAAATAAAGTCATATCACCAACACAGGTATGTACACATCTTTATTTATTTTACAAATAAAAAGTGTTGTACATTGATTCCGTGTTGTGAAAATTAATTAAAAAGCCGTCGGTCGTTTTACAGCGCGTCCGTCCGTCCATTTGCCGTCGGTAAATTTCACTTCATAAACAATAAGTGTCGAATCCGTCATTCAAAATTTTTGTTTACAACAAATATACACAAACACAATCACAGAGAATTTTGTTTAATTTCATTTTAACTTCATTTTATTCAATTTTCGCGCATTTCTTCTATTTTTTCATTGTTGATCTCTGATATTTTGGTGTTTTGCTTTTTCATTTATTTCTTCTTCTTTCTTCAAAACACCAAAATCATCACAACAACAATTACCATATGCAAGAGTAATTGTCATCTCTGCTGATTGTTGCCACCTTGTGACATATTTGACACTTACATATAAGTAACATATGATCACATTTATTAGGGGTGTTCACACTTCCTAATATTATCCAACAAATTGATCAAAATATTTTAGTGCCATTTTTGGGTATTTTTTGTGTTGAATCCTACGGATATCAACTTAAATTAAATTTAAATTGTGTTTTCGACACTGTGCACCCTATATCCGGTCTCATTTATTAAAATATTATTATTTTTATATAAATATAATATAACATATTATATATTAAATCAAAAATTATTTAATTTTTTATAAAATATTTTTGCTTTAATTTTTTTGTTGTTGTCCGCTACCGATTGAAAACGTGCATCCTACAGTCCGTGCACCCTACAATTGGTTTTATTGAAATTTTTAATATTTTTTCGAATTTGTGATTTTTTATTAAAAATTTTTGATATTTTCTCGTTGGCAATTGTTATCATCGATACTTTGCCATAGTTTGCAGGTATTATACGATACACTGTAAACATTTTACGAAATTTGGAATACACTGAGAGAAAACTTGAGTTAATATTTAATTATTTTCTTAAAATTTCTATATATTTGTGGTTTAATCACGTTAAACCTCAATATTTTTGCCGTATCTACGATACTTTATTACGATTAGTCAACGACTAATTATAAAATCAGTGTATTTCTAATAAAACACAATAATTTTCTTCAAGCATTTCGTGCTTTAAAGTACCTTTTATTAATATTTTTGCGAAAAACTTTCACTTTTTTGAATTTTCACATAAAATATTCGACATTACGTGTCAATTTCTAGAAATTAAAGCATTTCGTGCAAATCTTTCCAGATTTTTATATTTTTGCTATATATTTGTGCATCTTTTTTAAAGATTTTCAAAGTAAGAATTGTTTTTCAAACAATTTTTTGAGAATTCTTGGTGTTTTTGCTACTTTTCCTGCAGTTTTCTTAAACAAAATACAGTTTTCCCCGAAAACTTTAGACACTTTTCTAATTTTTTTTCTGAATTACGTTCATTTATTTGAAATAAAATGCCACTCACACCTCTAGATTTGTTCATCCGAGCTACTGATGCTTTGGTTAAATTTGATGCCAACTTCAGTTCCCAACGGGACGATGAGCTCGATGTCTATATTTTAGAATTACAGGGAGCTGAGGTCAGAACGTTATGGGAAAAGGTGAAAACCGTTTTTGACAAGTGTCTTAATTATTTTGCAGAAGAAGACAGTTCAGGTGAGGACATCACTGCCGCTGACACTAAATACGATGTCGCATTTAGATGTTATCTAAAAGTATTAGCTTCCATAAATAGGAAGTTAGATGAACTTCGGGCTCCGCCTAAGTCATCGATGGCGACATCGTCTCCTCAGGCTAGCGTAGGTAATAGGACTATATCTCGTTCCGAGATTAACACAGTCAATCAGCCTACACCTCGTTCCGAGGATAGAGCTTCGATTTTGGAGGCTTCGCCAATATCTTTTAACTCATCACTCACATCCTGTGGTGGTAATAATTCTGGTCATAGGTTGAATTTACCGCCTTGTGACATAGAAATATTTAATGGCGACTTTCTTTCCTGGCCTACATTTAGAGACTTATTCTCGGCAGTGTATATTAACAATACTGGCATAAGTGACATTGAACGTCTATGTCATTTAAACAATAAGACCAGTGGCGACGCCCATGACATAGTGGCTAAGTTTTCACTTACCCACAAAAACTTTGGTCTTGCGTGGAAAGCTCTCAAACAAACGTACGACAATCCACGTATTTTGGTGAACCACCAACTTAAACTTTTATTTGACCTGCCAGTATTAGACAGTGAGACAAGTTTAGGTTTAAAGAAATTGCAAAGAGGCATAAATGGGTGCATTTCGGCCATGTTAAACTATGATGTGCCAACTGAAGGCTGGGACCCTATTCTAGTGTTCATATGTCTTCAAAGGCTTCCCAAAAATAGTGTCACACTTTGGGAACAAAGTATTAAAGATAAGTCAGCCTTGTCTTCCTGGGAAGATTTGGATAAGTTTCTTACAGAACGCATCCAAACTCTTACCTGCCTTCGTGACATTAGAGGTATTGACAACGTCAAATCTCAAAGTAGTAAAAAAGTTCGTACACATTTCACGAATGCTGGCACGAACCGATCCCCTAATTTCACACCTCGTAATTCACCTTCTACATCTAGGCCATCCCGAGCACCCTCCAATAAAACATGCATTTTATGTCCACGACAAATGCATCATATCAGAGCATGCCAAAAATTTTTAAAACTTTCAGTTCCTGAAAGAATTAACACTATTAGGCGACATAATTGTTGTTTAAATTGTCTGTCACCTAAACATTTAGTCAACCACTGCAGTAGTCCATACAATTGTAGTAAATGTAATAAAAGACATCACACTCTATTACATAGAGATCATTCCACGTCTTCGACTGCAGCAACTTCTGAAGTTAGGAACGTAGCTTCTTCTGATCAACCCTCCACTTCTTCCGGTCTAACTTCCAGCTCTGCTAATAGACAGGTATTTCATACCGCTCAAAGTCGAAATGTTCTATTAGGCACGGCAATGGTGAACATCGTTCACCAGGGTACCACGTACCCTGCCAGAGCATTAATTGACCCTGCTTCAGAAGCTTCTTTTATTACAGATCGCTTACAGCATATACTAGGCATCGCCTCCACTACCACTGTTGCTACAATTTCTGGCATTAATCAGGCAGTTTCGACTACGTCGCGCAAGTTGTGTTCAATTTGTATAAGTTCTCCATTGGATGCTTCGCTTTCAATGGAAACGACTGCCCTGATTTTACCTTCTATCTCTTGCAATCTGCCTTCGTTTTCTGTCAATAGCGACTTCGTTTCTCGTTTGCCAAATCTACGTTTGGCTGATCCAAATTTGTTCAACAGTCGCCCTGTTGATCTTTTGCTGGGAGCAGATCTTTATTCGAAGATTCTGCTACAGGGAATTCACACTAATATATTAGGCTCCTTAATAGCACAAAATACGGTCTTTGGTTGGATCCTCACTGGTTCAATTCCTCCCCAACATCTATCTGTGTTTTCCGTTAAAGTCAGTATATCTGACGAAGAAAACCTTAACAAGGTTCTTCTTCGTTTTTGGGAACTGGAGGAAGTTCCTAAACGTCCAATTTTGTCGCCCTCAGACCAGTTTTGTGAGGCAAATTATAAACGTACCACACGTCGAGATTCAGAGGGCAGGTACGTGGTCAGCCTTCCCCTCAAGACAGAGTTAGTTGGACAGGCAGACTTAGGATTTTCCCGAAATAATTGTTTACGACAATTTCTTCGGAATGAGGCATCTCTTCTTCGAAAGCCACAAATCAAGGCAGTCTACGACCAAGTGGTCAATGAATATTTAGATTTGGACCATATGAGGCCAGTAGTTGCCGCGCTAACAAACACTACGGTTTGTTACCTCCCCCACCATCCAGTAATAAATCCCGACAAGCAGACTACCAAGCTTCGAGTGGTTTTCAACGCCTCGAATAAAACTTCCAACGGGAAAAGTCTTAATGATATTTTACATGTGGGTCCCACTCTGCAATTAGACTTAGTATTTCTTATTCTTAGGTGGAGATTATTTAAATTTGTTTATAACTGCGACATCACACAGATGTACCGCCAAATACGTGTCGATCCGGCACATACTCCACTACAGAGAATACTCTTCCGGGATTCACCTCAAAAACCTGTTCAGGATTTTGAGTTGCAGACGGTGACATTCGGCGTAAACTGCGCCCCCTATTTAGCCATACGGACGCTTTTACAGTTAGCTGACGATACTGACGATGAATATCCTCTCGCTGCACACATACTACGTAGGTGCATGTACGTCGACGACGTGCTAACAGGATATCATGACTTGCGTACAGCTTTAAATTCTCGCGATCAATTAAGATCTGCTCTTTCGTCCGCTAAATTTGAGTTGAGGAAGTGGACAGCAAATGACCTTGCTATTTTGCAAAATCTTCCTACGGAAGATTTAATAGACGCCAAAGTCCTTTCCTTCGTGGAAGCTAGCAGTTCCAAGCCGTTAGGTATACGATGGAATGCTCAGCTTGATTTGTTTTATTTTAGTGTGAATGCTCTTCCCACAAAAGCCCACTATACAAAACGAGAAACTTTGTCCACTATTGCCAAACTATTCGATCCTTTAGGTTGGTTAGGCCCCGTAATTGTGACAGCTAAAATAGTTATGCAGAAGATCTGGACAGATAAAATCGGCTGGGATGATGCACTTCTGTCCACGACAGAACGTGATTGGCAAAATTTTGTGGATTGCTACCAGGATGTGAATTCCATTCAAGTTCCTCGGTGGGTCCATTATACGCCAAGTTGTTCCGCCGAACTTCATGTCTTTTCTGATGCTTAGAAGATTTCTCTTCGTTAGATAGGGCTCTTCGAGTCCTCTCCTATATTTTTAGATTTTTCCACCGGACTCATCCTGCTCATAGAGGTCAATACATTTACAATGAGAAGGCCCTTATAAAAGCGGTTAGATTACGTCTGGCTATTTTATCTCAAAAAGTCCACTTTGCAGATGAGTACCAGTCTTTGTCAGATAAGGTTCCCTTAAATGCAAAGAGTTCTCTTTTATCCTTAAATCCATTTCTGGATGAATTCGGGGTAATTAGGCTTAATGGACGCTTGTCGCAATCACCTACTCTGTCTTACACAGAAAGGCATCCCATTATTCTGCCTCGCCAAAGTCGTTTCACGCACTTACTACTTCAATTCATACATGTTCTTTCCATCCACGGTGGAAATCAACTGATGTTACGCATCATTAGAATTGAATATTGGGTCCCACGACTCACATCACTAATTAAAACCATCATTACTAAATGTAAAACATGTTTCTTGGACAAAAAACGGTCTTGCTCTCAGATAATGGCTGCTCTTCCTCCGGAGCGAACGGTATTATCTAGACCATTCACCACTACCGGTGTTGATTTTGCAGGTCCCTTCGACCTTAAATCGTTCACAGGCCGCTTTTCTAAAATCACTAAAGGTTACGTCTGTGTTTTTGTTTGCTTTTCTACGAAAGCAATACATCTTGAGGCTACTTCTGATTTGTCTACGGCAACATTTTTAGCAGCCTTTCACCGCTTTATCTCCAGACGTGGTTGTCCAAAAACAATTTTCTCTGATAACGGCACCAACTTCGTTGGAGCTTCTAGGGAAATCGAAAATAATTTTAAAACAGTTCTCCGTGAAAGTCGTACTAACTTGTGTTCCACATTGCAGTATCAGGAACTTTCATGGCAATTTATTCCCGCTGGCGCCCCCCATATGGGTGGTCTATGGGAGGCCGCCGTAAAAAGTTTTAAGTTGCATTTTCGTAAGCAAGCTAAGAACTTCAAATTTACGTTTGAAGAACTTTCTACGATTCTTTCCAGAATCGAAGCTTGTTTAAATTCACGTCCTTTATGTCCCATAAATGACAATCCCCAGGATATAGTAGCACTGACACCAGGTCATTTCCTCATTGGAACCCCAATCCTTGCTCCTCCGGAGCCAGTAATTGACGAAGCGCCTTTGCATCTGGTAAATCGGTTTCGGAAACTTAAAGCTCTCACTCAGCAACTCTGCCTACGGTGGAAGGATGAGTATTTGAAGAGCTTGCACAAAAGGTACAAATGGAAGTTTCCGCAACGCGATCTTCAAAAAGGCGACTTAGTCGTAGTTAGGCATGAAAATCTTCCTTCCACTTCGTGGAAATTAGGACGGATTATAGCGGTGCACCCGGGTTCTGATGGTCGAGTACGAGTCGCAGATATCCATACGGAAAATGGCACTATCCGACGGCCAATTGTAAAATTAATTGCGCTACCTTAATTGTCATAGTCCACGTTTTCGATTAGTATTTGTACCTCTTTATTTTTTCGCGAAAGAAAAAAATTATAATTGATGGCCGCGAACGCGTTGCGAATTCTCGGGCCATGACAATTTTAAAACGACCTACGGTTTTTGATGGTCATCCTGGCCAATAATTCCAATAACTCTCTCCTCATCGTTGTATTATTGCATCCTCTCTATTTTCACAGAAGATGGAAAATTTAGGAAAGATGGCTGCAACTCTACCCGACTATGAGGACGACGTCCCCATGTCTGATGAGGAAAGGGAGCTCGACGCCATTACTACCCCCATCTCCGATGAGCCAATGGTATCTGGGCCCCCTGAAGCTGCTCCTCCCTCGGAGGAAAATCCAATATTAAAAAATCCGTCTACGACGGTCCCTGAAGCTCCTTCAGGCGAACGAGTGGTCTCGCCACAACTTTCGGCATCCTGTCGGAAGAACCAGGGTTCGAAAAAGGTTTGCGCAATATGCAACGGCACACATCTTCTCAGGGACTGCAAAGAATTTCGAGTGATGCGGGTTGAGAGAAGGTTGAGGGTGGTCGCATTTCACAAATGCTGTGGCAATTGTCTGTCCACTACTCACCCAATTCGTGACTGTCCCAGTCCGTACAGTTGCAAAATTTGTAAGAAAGGGCATCACACATTGCTCCACCAGCCATCTCCCAACGAAGTTGCTCCAACGTCCGCACCTTAACCCAATTCCCTTACCAGTCTCCAATACTGCAGTCAAGCCTTCTAAGAAATCACGGAAGCGTAGATCTTCAAAACGTCCGTCCGTTAACTCTTCAAAAACTCCTGCTCCTGGTCCCTCTTTCACTCCCCGACACTGTCCTTCCGTTGTCCGCAGGCCCATAGCTGCCATCCAGTCCGTAGCCACGCTCGGGCCAACAGTGGTGGTGCAGCTGATGTACAATGGTCATCGGATACCTGTCAGAGCTCTCATAGACCCGTGCGCAGGACATAGTTTAATCTGTCGGTCATTGGCTGATAGTATTAAGCTGTGTCCTGTCTTCGTGGGACCCGAGAGGTTCTGCCAGTTCTCCGTTGCATCATCATACGACATCACTCAGCGGATTTCAATTTCGGCGCGAGTGATTAATCTTGGGAACCTTGTCGCTCCTACGGAGGCTGTGTCCGCCGGTCTGAAAGAACACTATGCTGGCCTGCAGTTAGCCGATCCTCGGTTCCATGAAGCAGCAGCGGTTAGTGTCATTCTGGGCCCTGAAGTCTACAATAAAATCATGAAGCCGCAAACTTATTCAAGCCCTGGTTTTCCATGGGCCCAGCTCACCATATTTGGATGGGTTATATCGGGCCCATGTAACGTATAATGTGAGGGGCAATCTTCAATTGCCTCTGGCTCGTCGAGCCCCTGTCACAAGACTTTTCGAGTCACTTGCATATCCAATAAAAAGTTAATGGATCTGGTCTCCTCGAGCCACAATATGATCCTGCTTCTCGAGCAAATAACTTTTACTATTTATAAATAAAATGTTTATGAAAAAATGAAAAAAAAAAAAACTGTATATACGTATTTGTTTTATTGTTAATTTTGCAACACAGCTGGATGTTGCAACGCGGGCGGCAATGTATAGTTTCAAAGCCATTTTCATAACTTATTTGATTTAAACTTTCCCCACAGGCTTTTTCCATCCCTGCGTTACATGTTGTACACTACACTTTTTATACGTCTTTGTTTACTTCGTAGACAAAGACAAATGTAGTAACAAAATGTAACGAATAGCTTTTATAACCCCGCTTTGCGACATCTTAGCTTTTTTTAATTCGCTAAGATTACTCGCTCGTTGGTTTACAACCGAAAAGCATCAAACCCTGTAATCAAGGTAAATTAAATTGTTTAACGAACAATTTTAAATAAAATATCAGTCCACGACTGTTTTGAAATAAAATATTAATAATCTTTGGTTTTATTTATTTTCTTTTCCTTTCATTTTGCAACGCAAACACAAACAGTCATGTGGGCGGGTTCATGTCTCTATTAAAGCTTGAAAAATATCTTTCTGTGCACAAAAGAAAATATTCTTATAGACTCCCGAAGGTTTGGATGGATTAAGTAGCTGGGCAACTCTTTGCCCTAGTTGGTCCAGCTCATAACAACAACATAATGAAAATAACAATGTTGATTGGTGTCCATTACTCATGACCCTTCCCTACCTTAGTCTCTCAAGGGAAAATATTGTTGAGACTACCAAATGTCATTTTTACCCCATTTCCCTCACGTCAGATAAGAAAATAGTTCCTTTTTAATTGATCATATAAAATATGAAACAAGTATTATATTTTAATAACGGTAGAAATTTACAACATCATAGATAAAAAAAAATCCATAGAAGATAATAAAAGAAAAAGAAGATAACATAAATATGAAGAATTCATGATTGTTTGAAGTTTTCATCTTAATTAACAAGAAACTCAAGGTTATAAAAATTAAATTAATTTCTATAGAACGATATATCCTGGAACCTTTAAATTGAAATGGCTAAGTTCATTTGTGTGTTAATTATGATTATATATGATACAATTAAGATAATTAATTTATGAAAAATTTATAATAATATACGATTTATGGCTAAATTAAAGGTACCAGAATTATCTTAACATGGCAATATATATAGATTTTGCATGAGTCATAAAAAATTGAACCCACGTCGCCATAACTGACGTCGACTGCTACTGAGTCTGCTAACCAATTATCCTATCAAGCCGGTTTGGGACAATGTGTGTTTAATGAGGTTTTGTGTTCAAGCACTGCATTAATTGAAATATTTTCACACTGACTTGTTGGGTGATTGAATTGACGATATGTAATTTCTAGGTTTTGATATAGAGTTGCTTGAAATTTTTTTTTTCTCCAAAAAGATGATTTTAACCCCGATTAATGGTAATTTTTGCACTTTGATTTTTTCTAAATCGCAGGTTTTTAGTTTTTCATAGTAAAAAGAGATTAGGTTAGGTTAGGTTAAAGGATGTGTGGTTGCATAAAAACAACCACTCCACTCGGAGACCTAGTGGTCCATTGTGATCATCCTAATTTAGAATAGAAGTGAATGTGAAAGAAGTTAGGAGGTTAGAGTAGAATAGATAGGAAATAGAAGAGTTAGTGTGTTTGCATCCACGCTATAGTCAGCGTGTCGTCCTTAGCCATTTTAGTCTTCTGGCTAGCTGAAGAATAACTACTGGCTCGGTTTCGGAGAGGCATGACAAATCCGGCAGAATTTGCTTACCTAAGAGCCTATGTCTTACCCGATCAGGGTAGGACAGTGACAGAGTAAGTGTTCCACCGTTTCTGTTTCTTCCTCATCTTGGCAAAGCCTGCAGTATACAGTGTCGTCAACCCCCCCCCCCCCCATTTTGAAGTCATGACCTTTATGTTGCAGTGACCTGTAATTAGACCCACCACAAGCTTCAGGTCCAACTTCGTCATGGATGTGAGTGACCGTGATCTCTTTTCTGAGTTCACTGGCCAAATCATTTTGGAGATGTTACATCCCCTTCCAGATAGCCAGTTTTGTTGAATTTTCCCAAGATAGTGATTATGAAGTACTTCAAAGAAGTGGCATAAAGGTGGCTTCACTGAGGTCTCAATCTCTAGATCTACTGACTCAGATCCGCGTCTGGCCAATTCATCGGCAGATTCATTGCCAGAAATGTTGCAGTGTCCAGGAACCCAACAGAGCTTAACAAACGACTTTACCTTTTCCAGGGCAATTTTGCACTCCAGAACAGCCTTAGATTTGATTATAAAAGAATTTAGAGCTTTTAGGGCCGCCTGACTATCGACATATATAGTCACCGGTCCGTTCCGCTCATCGATTCTATTTTCCAACAGCTCTATGGCCATTCTGACAGCAAAAATCTCTGCCTGAAAAACACTACAATCGCTGTTTAGTCTGAAGGATCGTTGGATACCTAAACTTTCACAGTAGACTCCAGCCCCCGTTCCACTTTCCATCTTTGAACCATCAGTATAGACAGCTATACCGTTAAAAGGTGGAGTGCCACGGGACCAGATATCCCTGTTTGGTATGCAGATATCGAGTATTTCAAAGCTGTGTCTAGGGAGTATATAGTCGCTAGCTATAGCCTGATTACTTACATTCTCCACATACTTAAGAATAGTAAAAAGAGATAGCAAGGAAATGAATGAACGTAGACTCCTAGTGAGCGATAGTGCTTTGTGGATTAGCGAGTTGTTAATATAATAGCCATGTGTTTTGTACTTAGGCGAAATAACGTTAAATTTAATTGCGCAAGTGATTATTTCAAAGAATTTCTATATTAAAAAATAAAATTGGTGCGAAATTAGGTGGCAGAATATACCCGAAAATAGACTTTTGGCAACCAATCTAAAACGATTTATAGAATATGAGGATTATATCAGCGCCAAGTAGCAGGTATATTGGGCTGTTATCAAAAGAATCCCCTAAATCGAAGTTACGAATTCGAGTTTTCAATTTATGTATTGGAGTATGCGAGGACAGTTTTCCCTTAACACTAGACAGGACTGATGCATTTGTTCTATAATTGTAGACGAAATTTTTGGGGAAAATAATTTGAGAGAAAAAACTTCTATGGGTGCGGTAGATATGCTCTCTAAAGCACGAGTTGAAATGCGGAGTGCATTTTTAAGTTTCTTACCAACAATTGATGATCTTGAAGAAGGGTCTAAAGTAGCACAAGTTTTAAAGGATTTCCCATTATTAAATGCAGACTATGCAGTTCCCGAGAGCACATTATCTTGAATGTTGTCGAGAGACTGGTTATTCGATTTCTTTTTAGTAGAGTTTAGAAAACTTTGAACCTCGACTTTTCACATTCGTAGAAGCCGGAGGGAATTTCAAAGATTGTAATTTGACAATTTTACTTATTTTTGGCCGATGGAGTAGGCTGTGATGGCTTTGCTTGAATGAATTGCAACAATACTATTACAATCGTTAACGACATAGCCGGTACACAGGCAATTAATGCAAAGATTATTTCCTTTTACAATGAACAATACTTCCTCAAACGGAAGTCCAACAAAAAGAGGACAGAGCCGTTGTACTTGGCTCTGGTTACGACAAACAGGACAAGAGGTGCTCGGAAGTGAATTGTTAGAGCTAGGAGGGAGCGTAATTTTGACGGAGGTGTCGATAACAATCTATTGGTGGGGCGAGATATATCTAAATGGTCAGATGTCAACGATTTTGGAGGTGAAACACTCTTTGGCAATATCGGCTTGGAAGGGCTCAACGAATTAGGAGAAGCTACTACATTAGGCAACGACTTTTCTGTGGACGAATTTCAACTTATACTCTGAAGGGTTTTTATTCTTTCTGTGAGGAAAAAATCTAAGCCATTCCAAGAAAACAAAGACGACTTGTCTTTAACACTTTGTTTCCACAGAGTTAAGGTTAGGTCTGGCAACTGCTGCATACAAATAAACACGACAATAGGCTCCCAATGATCTGTGTTGACATCATAGACGGCCAATGCAGCGAGACAACCCCGCTGAATGTTATTCAAGCACTGACAAATTTTTTTTATCAAAAAAAAAAAAGGGAAGCTCGAATAAATTCTTAATGTGATTATTAACAAGAATACGCATATTGTCGTACGTAGCCGACCACGTTTTCCACGCTAAATCGAAACTACGATTGATGAGTGGGAAACTAGGAACGATTTCTTGAGCCTCGCCGGTGGTTTTTTGCATAAGAAGGCAGAGACGTTAAATGTCGGAAAGGCGTGCATTTTTTTGCGGACGCGTTTACGGTTTGAAAAGCAGACTGCACAGCAACCAGGTGGACGGAATTGTCCGAAAGTAGCCTAGAAGGTGACGCTAACGAGGTAATATTTAAAAGTGCACTAGGTGATATTGGACTACCACATTGTGGAGAAGTTGGTGTGAGTGCAGGATCTATAGCTGGCGCATTTACAGAGACAGGTGATTTGAGTGGATCAAGGTGACGATTAATAGTCGTCAAATACTAATGGTATTCAATAAATGAATTATTGTATTGGTCCTCAACGACACCAAATTTATCCACCTGTGCAGTCTCGGATTGTAACGTGCTGATTTCATCACGTACATTTATACGAACAAACAACCGCACCTATTACACAATGAGAGCAATAACAGCGGCCACTGCAAGTGCGACGCTAACAGCACCAACCAACCACCACCACCATGCAGACACGACACGGTCATAGGCAGTCAACAAAGCGACAACACCACTAGCCAACAAATGCAGCATTCATTGGGCGCGTGGTAAACAATGTAGTGTTCGGTGGTGTGCTGCTCACAGCGTATGGCTGCTCCCGATTACCTTCAAATCGTCAACAACAGTCATCACCGGAACACAAACTTCGTAATTCCTGATCGTCGACAACCGACGACCACAAGTTCCCGATATCCCGACTCTCACAGTTAGATCGGTTTCGTTGGTTCATTTGTCGTTTAATTGCAACAACAAGAACAACCATATATTCCAAGCGCCTTTTCTAGCGTCGGTTTAATAATATTCAAATCAACCAACAATTTATTTTTCTCCCCACCTATCACTGTTAGGTCGTCGTCGTTAGTTGTTTTGCAGTGAGGTAGTTAACTACTCACATACGTTGATCGCTCTGTCGACGCTACTTGTGTTTTATTTCGTTTTGTGCGGTATTCCTTGTAGTCGCTCGCACAGTGGATTCAATTTTAAAAAAGTGAAATTTATTTTAATAAATTTTACTTGAAAATTATTTTGATATTTTTGTTGAATATAACGTCTAGTAGTTATTCAATTTCGATTGACCATTATATCTTTCGGTTAAAGCACTCTACGGCCGGCTTAGTGGTTGTATTTATGCAATAAAATTGAATATTCATATACAATTGTGGAAATTATTTATAAATATCTATTTATAAATTCAATTTGATTTTTTGAAGTATATTGCATTTTTTACCGTTTAGTTGTAGTGCACCCTACAGTCTATAGTAGTCAAATTTAACATAATTCTGACAAATCTCGTTTATTTTTTAGAAATTTCACGCAAATTGTTTATTTTTCTATTGTGATCTGATTAATTTTTCTTTTATCTTGAGTGTTTTTGACAATTAGACCGTGAGCACCCTACACTCAACTACAGTTCAACAGTTCGCATAGTTCGGATTGTGGGGGAGAGCTTACGCTCTCTTCTGCACTTTCTCCTAAAAGTCATATTCGCTCAGTTCGGATGCAGAGATGCACTTTCCAATGCTGCGGTTGTCGTTGCTGGTCACGACCCGCTAGCAACATGAACTAGTTCGGCATCGGAAACTCGTCGATTCTCAGAGTTACAGTAACTAGTTCCACTTAAGACCCCTCACAGTGCAAACAACTGTAAACTTTAACATGGGGATGTCATACGAAGTAACAAATTGGCTCCCTTTGCATTACCTGTAGATGGTACTTTACTAGTTCCAGGTTTACAGTCATATACCAGTGACAAAAGACTAACCCTTACCAAGTTCCAAGTACACAGCCACAGACTAGTGTCAGCAGACTACCTTTTAACTAGTTCTATGTATACAGTTATGTACTAGTTTCATTTGACTATCCCTTATCTAGTATAAGCAGACCAATTTTAAACTGGTTTCCCATGAATTAGTTCAGTACCAATTATTGTTAGTGAAATTCTAATTTTTAGTTTTAATTCATTTTTTTATTGCAAACAAATGAATACAAATATACCTTACTCTATAAAACTTGAACAAAAATAAATTTAAAACAAAACTTTGCTGTGAAAAAGATCTGCCAATAGAACTTGAGTCCAACCTGGAGAGTTTCTAGTGTATAATTCGCATATGCTAATTTGCAATAAGTTCGAAATATATACTACTTTCCAGAGAACGGCCCTTGTAAGCCATCATCCACACCAAATATGCCTGATGAGCCGCTTAACCAACGGCGAAACGCGTCGCATAGTGGTGTGTGTGTGATAGTGTCTATCTGGCTTTCCTTTTCACTGCAAATTTCAGATCATTAAGCTCGTCTCGAAAGAGAAAACAAACAATAAATCATAAAACATATGATCTTCGCCTTAACAAGGCAAAACTCAAATAAATTTAATTTAATATTTATAAAAGCACTTGTATTGCTTTTCGTAGTTGTGTTTCAGGGGTGTCCGAATATTCTGTAACTGGTATTGAATCTGCAAAAAATAACGGTTAATGTATGAAAATGTAGAATATAAAAATAATGTTTATATACACCTTATCTAAAATAACGTTGTATATATTACTTAGGGACTTCAAACTTTTTTCCTCAATATTATACTCGTAGTTATATTTGAACCGATAACATTTTTAAACATTTCGATGTTTCCTCTCCTTTTATAATTGATGCTATAATCTTTACCTAAAAATTAACAAAAATTGTATACAATCTATGTTTGTTCAGCAATACATTTAAAAAATACTTACATATATGTATTGATTCTCAATATTTTTCATAAGTGATGGGGAACCTATTCGATAATGGTATCTCATCACTTTGAATTCGTAGCACCATCACCTTCAACTCAGCTAAAGCATCAGCTAAAATTTTGATTTGACCTATAGTGAAAACAAACAAATTAATAATTTGTAACAATTCTGAGAAGAATGTTATAATTTTACCTTGAATTACTTTTATTATTATTTTATTACTATTATTACTTTTACTACTCATTCTTACCTTTTTATTTGTTATTTTCAACACTTTATAACTTATTTGCACAGAAAAATGATACTTCACTTCACAACGATCAGAATAAGAATGCTTTTTCCAAACAAAACGCACTTGCATTCCTCAAGAATAACGGTGCATTGTGTTTTTATTGGTAATCTAAAAAAAACTATTCAAAGTGGTTCTTGTTCGTAGAGATCTCATTCAAATGTTCGTTTGGTTTTTTCGTTGTGGTTTTTATTTATGCACAACTGTCGCTTCTTTGCATTACTTGGGGAGGAAAAGGTGTCAATTGTTTACCTTTGCATTACTTGGGGACACATTTGGTACTAGTCCGGCTTATATCTAGTATAGGACTGGTGAAATTGAGTTAAATGGAATTTTCATTGCCAGCGGGGACCTTGTTCCGCTATTGTGCTCATCTACAACGACACTTGTTCTCTCGCTCTCTTTGTGATCACACGAGTTATGTATAATGACCCCATAGATATTTTTTAAAAGAAATAAACAAATAAAATCCAACTTTTGTAAAGTTGTTGCATAAAAAATGACCAATCACTTTTGTTAATTAACTTTTTAATAATTTTTAATAACTAATTAACTTTTTAACAATATTAATTTTGCTAACATTGCATGTTTATCAGTATATTAACATTTATGTCATTACATCCAATCAAAATGTATTTTTATAATAATTTGCTAATTCTGCATTAAATGATAATCTACTAAATTTAGGGCACCAATCAAAAACTCATTTATTTATAAATTGCTAATTTTACAATAAATGATGGTTTACTAAAAATTAGGGTTATTAGCCAACCAGAATAAACTAAATAATGAAAATGCTTACATAACAGCTAAGAAGAATATTATAAATAACAATGTAAAATTCGATTCAGGGGAGTCAGTGTTTAACTTGAAACTCACTACTTTACAAATGAACCATTTGAAAATACACAATACTACTTAGTCCTTGTTTTTATTTTATATTCTTTTTGGGTTTATTTGTCTCGGTATCACGTCAACACAATGTTTATCTCAGAGGTGCTCCGCCGATAACAATAAAAACCAAGCCACTCTACATACATACATAGATATGTATAAAGTTAATTTATTATCTTGTATTTTGAATATTGTTTGATTTAAATTGCAAATACAGCCTTTATTCTAAAGTTCATTAACTAATGGTAAAACTTAATAGTCATTGGCTTTCTTGATGTTAATGTAACATTCATGTAATTGAACTAATTCATGTTGCATGCAAAATATTTAATTCTGTCATCATTGTAACGCCGGAAGTCGGAACTTCTTTCCGGCTCCAAATCCTGGTGCTATATATCGACATAATTGTTGTTTTTTGTTTGGTTTTTCTTATTTTGAATTTGAATACATGCATTTCTTTGAACACACATTGCTTTCCATAACGTCTATCCGTCACTGAGAGTTTATTGCTGTTGACGAGGATCGATGTCGCAACAATTACCAATAGCCAAAATTGCCAACAACTTGTTTACGTCTATGACCTAAATGTCCCGCTGGGGAAACAAATTAGCAACAACATACATGTGTAAAGTATTCCCCAGAGATGCGAAGGAGCAAAATATACGCAGTGATCGCGAGAAAAACCAGTAGCAACAACAAGTCTAGGTGGAGCCATTTGAAGCGCCACTAAGATGTAAAAAGCTTGTTTACGCGAACCAATCACAAAGAAATTGATGCCAATAACGTGTCTTGGTAAGGTATTGTCAATCGTTCCTCATAAAAGGAGTGGCCCGTTGTGAGTGGGGATCATTTAAGTGAAGGCCGGTAACACGAATGTGTGACTTGATACGACCGTGGTACGAGAGAAAGAAAGAAACTTTTCAAAGGATTCCCTTGCACTAATTCCTTCGGAGACAGTATATACGCCTACTAAAGCGTCATGTACCTATATATTTTTCCGCAATATCATAGGGCCAACTGGAAAACGATATTCTTCATCATACGAAGATTTAAAATGCGTCCTAAGGGCCAAGTAGGGAACACAATTATCGCCCAACTTCACGGTTGTAAATTGATAATCAGTCATATCATTTTCTTCGGATGATCTGTATAATATCCTCTGATATTTAGTATGTTTCGGATAAGTCCAAATCAGGCCACACATTTTAGCCATAATATGGTAAAATATAACAGTCTTGATGGTCCACAAACCCGTCCACATTTTCCATATGTCCCAGAGACATGATATTATCATAATTAATCTTTCGGGATACATATCGACCATAACGAACTTCAAGCAAGAACTTTGAAACAATTCCTGTGAATAGCGTCGCTACTGAATCAAAATACTGAATATTGGAATGCACAGTTATATGGGGGCTATACAAAGTCATGGGCTTGTATATGTAATTTTTTGACATAGGCTTTATAACTTCCATTAAGATTCCAACATACGAAATTTGAAACAATTCCGGAGAATAATATCGCTTGTACCATCAAAATTCGGGATAAATTGAGGTACCGTTATATGGGGGCTATACAAAAACATGAACCAACATGGCCACTTTTCGAACTTGACCTGCCTACTAGCAAAATACAAATGTGTGCCTAATATTAGCATTGTGCCTCAAATCTCTCAAAAGTTTGCGTGATTACAACAGAAAGAGTGACACACATTTAGACAGACTCCGCTAAATCGACTTAGAATCTTACAGCGATCAAAAATATATATACTTCTTAGGGTCTAATTTGCGTATTTAGAGGATTTACAAACGAAATGACAAAGTTAATATACCCATCATAAAATGGTGGAGGATATAAAAAGTTTGTCGATACAAGTTACAGAGTTATGACGATACATGGCAGCATATTGGGTTATCATCAACTTAATAAGGCTAGCAGTTATACATGATAAATGTAATGACGGTGTAACAAGTACACCTCTACAAGGAACGAATATGATAATGCACAGTACATTTCCATTACCAAAGGTAACATTTCCCAATTCAATGGAGATTGTTTGAATCGTCGTCAGTTTTATGAACTGTTCTTGGAGATGGTAGACAAACAACCTCTTCCAAAAAATGTAGTATCATAAAACAAATTTTTCGGGTGAGTCTAGCAAACTCATAAGCCATCTGGCCTTAACAGAAATAAACTACAAAACAACATGAATATTGCTTCTAGAACGCTACAACAATCAAAGGATTCTTGTTTCCACGCTGGTAGAACGGATTCGAAATCAAAGAGTACTTCATCTACGGCTTCGATCAAGGCTCTGTATAATCCAAGCTGAATATTGACATAAGATCTAATTAGATCAAGCACTTTACATATGATTTATGCAGTCATGCAAAAATCGAAAAAATTGGTGAATTGAAGAAGTACTCGATTTGGGACATTGTGACGGAAAGGATCCTGAAAAAGTTAGCAATTAAAATAACCGATACGTCTTTGTTCATTGGAAAGTTGAAAGGATTCAAAAGAAAAAGAAGGACTATATGCATATGTTATCCAATAATTATGTCAAAACAATCCTTGGAAGCCCCGTGGAAGACAGCCGCTCTTGAAAGGTAGGACAACACAATAAAAAAGTGTATTCCCGCTAGTTCGACAGCCACGGAAAAGCAATATTGAACCAGCGAATTTCCCAAGCCCCTGGGAGCCAGAACCCCCAAATATTCGCTACCTCCCATCACATCCCAGGAGCATTCCAGGACACGCTGCTGGAATTAGCAGAAGCAATGAATGAACGTTAAAAAATGAGCAAACTGATCATGATACAAAACTCTGTACTTCTTCAACGGACGTCGAGATCAAACAAAATTCAACGGACGAGAAGATTTTGAAAATCGAGGAAGTAGAATCAGCTGAAAAAAGTCTCCGCTAGAATCTTTGCGAATCTCACTACAACAAAAATGTCCAGATAGTTCAAAACGGCCATTTCATTATTGGGCTTCCCTTTCGAGAATCTCCAACAGCATTGGGATGATCTCGTACAATGGCATCAAACCCATTTATGAGCATAGAACTCCGACTTCTACAAAAGGAAGTTACCCGAATTCAATACACCAAGCTCAAAGTTTTACGATTACCCGGCGTCTACAACAGGAGTTAAAGTTCGAAGGTACTACAGCTATAGTAGTAGCTGATATTAATTACATATTTCTGTCATACATGCTCAATATAACTCTTAAACTGAAAGAAGTAGATGACTCTCTCCGTCTCATTACTAGTGCTGTACAAATTCCAGTTGAAATAAAAGAGTTCAAAGCAGACACTCTACTTAGCAAACAAAGCTCATTATGCAGCACGATTGGAACATTTCATATTACAATCAGACGCAAAGCATCCGCTAATATTGCCATGCAACGATCCCCTGATCAGAGACAACTCATAGCTTTTAAGCACAAAAATACAACGAGTTCGGCCAATCTGAGGGAAAATGACAACAGAATCGACTATTAAAAAAACTGTACCTGCTCGTCCTTGTATAAATTCTGAAGCAGATTATTGTAGACCACTTTGTGTACATTACAAGGTAAGGGGCAAACGACCAACTAATACCTTTATAGCTGTGTTCTACTGCTATTCAATGAAGGCAGTTCATTTAGAACTGATATCTGACTTATCCACTGAATCATTTATTAGCCTTCTTAAACAATTCACTGCTCCTTTAGGGCGCTGTGAGAATATATATTTTAATATATATACAAAGTCTTTCGGAGCCAAAATATATTTGTGGAATTATCTAAATGCATGTATGTCAATCAGTCGCAAGCGCTAAGGCGCTAATGTACGAAATGTGTCAACAAAGACACTATAGAATGGAGAATTGGAGACAAAAATCAATGAAATTTAAGATATCCTAAATTCTCAACCCCTAATGGCACTATCAAACAATCCAGATAGGCTTGAAGCATTGACACCGGGACAGCAGATCAGATAGTGTGAGGACATCCAGTATATCACATTGGAAGGTAATATCACATATAAATCATCAGTTCTGGAATATATGGCAGGAAGAATATTTACAAAAACTTCAGCAGTGCAATAGTTGGAGAAAAAAGATGACCAATCTCCAAAAAAAAACGAGTAAAAAAGCAGTAAGTTGAGCAGGGCCGAACTTTGAATACCCTCCAACATTTGAAACAAATTAGAAAATTTTGAAAAAAATAAAATCCGTTAAAAATTCAGTTAAAATCTTTCAAATACCTAATATCGGAAAGTGCCGATATATGAGGGATATACGATATTGTGGACCTATATAGACAATTCTATGGCTGGGGGTATAGTACTCAGACCTTGTGTGGAATTTCAGACAATTCCATAAAAAATGTGGCTAAAATCGTCAAAATACCGAATATCGAGGGGTACCGTTATATTGGGACTATACCATATCGTGGACCTATATAGATAATTATCTTCCAG